GAGCGTGCAAAAGATGCTGAGGACATCAACTTGATGCGCCGGGATCTGGAATCCAACATCCGTCGGGGAAGCTGCCTAACCCCCGATGTTACAGCTATTGTTGTGCTGGCTGGCCCCAACAGACTGGATGGCTTAGGTGCAAAAGTCCTTATGTGGGATCTGGCCTGTGTCAGCGAGCTTCTCAACTTCAGGCATGTGGTCTGGGCTGCCCCTACACAGGCGATGCAGGACAACATCATCCACGGGGAAGACACCGAGGTGTGTCTGGCGTCCCGCATGTTGGGCGGTTTCATCGCTGGGCCAGAATGGATAGACGCGTGTGTGCGGGCAAATGTGCTCTTTGAGCCCGTCTTGCGCCTTGCCAAAGCCATCCAAGTCCCTAAGGAGCTGCGGGTCCACGAGTCATATCATTACAAAGACTCACTGGAGAAGATGTGTGTCGAAGCTGCTCGCAATCCATCTGCCAACATGAAATGGACAATTCGTGAGTCGCGCAAAAAGTTGTGGCCCAGCTCATTTCAGAATCAACGGTTTGCGGTTTAGGGTTAGGGGTTAGGGGTTTAGGGTTCAGGGCAGGGTTTAAATAGGGGTTTAGGGTGTGCTTGCGTGTTCGATGCTATGCCTTAGGACCAAGAAAAAGGCGCTCGTGCTGATGTCCCCAGATGCGTGTGAGCAGCAGAAGAAGAAGGAGCAGCGCAAGATCGATCGCAAACCAGGGCTGCTCATTGACTCTGCTTCATTTGTTCAGATGGTGACTGTGTCGTTGCCTCAGTTTTGAAAACCGCCCTAAACCCTAAACCCTAAACGACTCTAAACCCTAAACCAAATTGGTGCTGCAGGTGGACAGACCCTGCTGCGCCCTGACCATGCTGTCGCGACAAAATGAGTGCCAACATGCCACCTTTGCCTTAAACCCTAAACCCTAAACCCTAAACCGTAATTCTCGATCATCATGTCGCCAGGTCTGTGCGCTGCCCGCCACGGGCCGGCCCAACAGTGTGCTGCCCACCGGGAGAAAAGAGAAGAGCTGAGTGTGTGTTATGCAGCCTGTTGTCATGTTTGATCATTCCCCGGAT